AAAAAATGTATTGAAATTAGTTAATTTGCTGGTTGCTTTCATATTGCTTCATTCAAAATCCAAAATTGAAAAAGAACAAATAAAATCATATCTTCAGTGCAAACTACATTTCTGAGTCTCTTCCAAGTAGACATACCCAATCCAGTGTTTCTTCCAGTTCAGTGGATTCCCTCATTGGACCACCCCTAAACGTTTCAGTAGTTTTCTTGAACCACAAAGAACTGTCTCTAATTATTAAGACAACTAACTGCCTACCAAGTACTATCATTTTATGGAGAAGAAAATGTTGAAGAATATGAAGGATGAGAAGAGGATATTTTCAATAATGTCAAACATGAAAACTTGACTTCCTGTTTCAGTTAATCAATATCTTGGCTTCCTCTCCTAACGTGAAAGACTAGATATTTAAAACAGTGGCCATCTTGAGTACTTCTTACTTAAATTCTGTCAAGCAGCTTTGATGTAACTATCTTTACAATTGGAACGTTAAGAGTCAAAATAGGGAAGAAAGTAAAATAAGGATCAAGCCAAAGCAAAACCAATATGAAAATAAAAGGCTTTAAAACATAATTACTAGTTCACAATTTGATAGAGACTCGAATGTTTTCAAAGCAGGGTTGGCCATTCTTATTAGCCAACATAACAACTGTTGTCAAAAGACATTGGATACTCTATCTCATTTACTGATGCATATTACAGGAAAGGTTTTCCTTTTGTTTTAATGGAAACTTTACTAGGATTTCCAGGGGTGTGGATTACGTATGCATCAGTTCCTACAGATAGCAACAGATAGTAGAGGTGTTTCAACCGTCTATGTTAAAAAGAAATTAAGAAATTGAGAACAAGTGTAACTGCAGGCAGTTCTGCCCCATGTGGTCTGGTCCTTTCCGAGCTGTTGCATTCTCCTAAGCAACCAAAGCAGAAAAATGAAGAAACGATGCTGTTCCTCCTATCTTTCTCTTCAGTCTTTCCTGCTAATATTCAAGTTATATTATAGAAGCGCATAACTATCATTGCATCTCTGTATCTTCCACAGGGAAGCGTCAACACTACTGGCCATAGGGATAGAAGGAAGACCATCGGAGAAAGAGAGGGGAGTATGGAAACTGGAGTGGGCTTGTCTTTCTGCGTTCAAACCACAGCTGAGCTTATACCACAGTATTCCGGTGTCTGTAGGGTGGAGGAGGCAGCACAGTGCCTGGCTTCAGGGAGAACTCAGAGAGGTATTCGGGATTCTCTGCCACAATAGGCCGGATCCGTCCATTCTGTTTATAAAAATATTTTGTGCTGTACTCCTGCAGGTAGTCTGGATGCTGAAGGGTGCTTCGAGGTGGCAGGCTGTGGTTCCAGTAGTCAGGGTTGTCAAATGCTTTCTTGGCTTTCTCGGGCACAGACAGTACATTGTTCTTCAGGTACTCAGCGTTCCCCAAGGCATTGGCAAACGTGTTGAGGTACAGTGGCTCATTCACATACTCATCCTCTGCCTTGGGTGGACCACTGGAAGCCTTGTGATACTCAGGGTTATCCAAGGCTTGAAGATCTCCATTTTTCCTTCGAGAAACAAAGGGATTCTCTTCCACAGGATTCAGATATTCTGAAGGGACACACAAATAACCAATTAATATATTTTCTGGAAAAAAAAAAACAGTGGTCATCAGATCAAGGCTAAACACAATGGTTAGCATGTTTGTTGAGAACAAGAAAACCACAAACTTGTTTCCACATGGCTATTTGTGTGTTACTTTTACCCTGTGCAAAGGGTGTATGTGGACCAGAAGTGTCAATAGCAAAGCAAGGGAACAAGGTGAGAATCACAATTCCTGTCTCTCAAATGATTTTTCTTTCCTTCAAATTGAATTTGTCTCTCTAACATATGAGGCTAGTTATTTAAATGCTTGTTTCTACAAGTCAGTAATTTATAATAGAACTTAAGATTATTTATTAGGATAGAAAAATTTAGGTTAGTTAGAATTCTTATAAATCATATGATAAACCCAAGGATTACTAACTTAGCTCCACGCAACAATGAGGTAATGCAGTGGAGAAAGAGTGTTTTTACTCTATGTGGCTTCCTGTAAACGTGCAGGTATTACAGATTTGACTGGACATGATTCCCAGAGAACGTATATACATGGGGAGCAGAACATCTAGGAAGAAGAGAATGAAACAAATCTGACTTGTCCTTCATTGGCTCTATATGTAACTGCTTACCCAGGAAGTATAATTACAAAATTTGTTGTCGTATTCCATCATAAATGCCAAAAAAGAAAGCTCAGTTTGAATCATGTTAAATAACTGTTTTGTATCTTGAACCATCCAGTAGTGACTATTTTTGTATGGCTCAGTCTACCAAACCCATCTGGTATAAGTATTAGGCTAAAATAAAATAATGCTGATAATTAATGCTGCTCTTTGCAAGCTTAATGCTATTTCTAGTGTGTACTATAGATTGCATATAAACATGTACACACAGATGTAGCGGATCCTTTTTGGTCCTTTCTTTTTACTGCATACCACAAACCCTCAGCGATTCCTATTTTTGAGTCAGAATGTGGAGATGATGCAAGTCTTTGTTGAGATGCCATCTTTCTAAAATAAACTTTCTAAAACCTATACTTAGTCTAACAACATGTGGACCAGAAAAATGCCATCAAGTGATAAATATCACTTGTACAAGTTAAAAAGCAATAATGAATATCCCAGCATCATATATGTGTATATGAATTAAAGAAAATTCAACTAACTAAACACTATCCATTTGGTGATAACCTTGTGAAAAATGAAGTGCAACCCTTACTTTTATAACTTTATAAATAGTAAGCCAATATTAAATGATATATATAATTATTATAGAACTAGAAGTCTTCTAATTCACATTGTATTACATTTTCATTGCCATCCACAAGAATATGGTAAAACTAATGTTTAATAACAAGTTTTGTTTGAAAAATGTATAAAAGAAGTTACAAGAGAGGCAGAATTTAATTTTCTTACTGGATTACTCCAGTTTTTTTTTTTTTAAGATTTTGTTCATTTTCATTAGAAGGCAGATATACAGAGAGGAGGAGAGACAGAGAGAAGATTCTCTGTCCACTGATTCACTCCCCAAGTGGCCGCAACAGCCAGAGCTGAGCTGATCCAAAGCAAGGAACCTTGATCCTCCTCCAGCTCTCCCATGTAGGTGCAGTGTCCCAAGGCTCTGGGCCATCCTCAAGTGCTTTCCCAGGCCACAAGCAGGGAGCTGGTTAGGAAGTGGGGCTGCCAGGATTAGAACTGGTGCCCACATGGGATCCCGGCACGTTCAAGGTGAGGACTTTGGCCACGAGGTTATCGCACCAGGTCCACTAGACTCCTCAAACCAATATTAAAACTTTGCCTAAAACAGTCTTTCACAGAAATTTGCATCTCAGTAGTAAGAGATAAAGTTTTAGACTAGCTGATAGTGAATCTTTGTAGGTTGACTTAGAATTTTTATATTAACTTTTCTCAATACAATCTACTTATCTATGTCCTCTGATTACATATGGAGAAATAACTTGAAGGCAGAGAAACAATCTTGCCGGAAAGGAGTCTGCTTTCAGGGAAATTGGCCAAGTTTTAAGAAATCCTACATATTGTTACTAAGGGCTTAATTGATGTAATTCTTAATTAAAGATTTCATATACCTTGACAGTTATGATTTAATAAGTTATTTATAATATTTACTTAGGGAATCTATAAATTGCACCTATAAGTGAGCATACACTTGTCGCAAAGGACATAATAGTGTCATAATGGACTTCATAATGTAATATAGCTTGCTCTCATACTTAAGATAATTGTTTTATTAATAAAAATCATCTGTCCTTTTCATTTCATGGTGCTATCAGCATAGAGGAAAGAGCTTTGGGGCTTTTCTTTTAATTTTGATTTTTTGATGTATATCTTTAACATTCCTACTAGAACTTTACAAAGTCATTGCTACGCTTTGTAAAGTCACAATCTGTTAGGCTTAGGTGTACACTTATAGGTACACATACACATGCAGGTATTTAAAAGTCACATCTCCAATTTTATAAGATGTTACACAATAAATCGGATTTTCCTATAGAAAACTATGTTATTCAAATAACGCCATTTTAAAGGATGACCAGATCTTTTATTGATGCCATCAGGATCTTCATATACTTCCCCCCAACAACTCAAATATTCATGATCTGCATAGGAAACTCATTAAAGCAATAGTTCTGAAAACTCATGATGTTCTACCTGGTTGAAATATTCTAATTTAGATAAGTTCGGTTCGTTCTTCTCAAGGTTGACTGCTTATACACATATGCTGAATATCTTGTTAAGAATCAAGATTCCTATTTAAGTGGGCCCTGAAATATTAATTTCTCAAAATCCCCCAAATAATGTGGATGCAACTGATTTGCTACCACACACAGAGGGAACAACGTTGGCCTCTTGTGGGTCACAGATGTTACACAGCACAGCTATTTGCCAATTTCCATTTCATACGTGGCTTAATTTGATGGAAGCGAATATTGAAGAGCAATCATCTCACAACATTCAGTTTGTACCTTGTTTGGGTTTGTCTCGCATAGGCGTCATGTAGCCTTCTTCATCCAGTTCTCCTCGTGGGCTCCTTTCCGGGGCAAACACCGTGGGGTCTGCGCTGTACCTCTGGGTGCTGCTGTCCTCTTGAAGATGGGGTGCCACTGGCTTTCGCAGGGTGCCATTACAACAGGAGTCATCGAAAATCTCAGCTGTGGCACCCTGAGCAACGGGAGCTTCGGGGATCGTACTAGTCGTGGCTCTGTAGGGCACGGACACACCTGGTTCCGCAGCGAACCCCCCATCTCGGTACACAAACTGGTTCTGGTGAAGGTAGAAAAACATTTGGAGGGAAGATGTGGTTAGGAAAATCAGTAAAAATTGAATGCTAATAACTAAAAGAACAACAAACCTTGCATTTTTTAGAACTTTCATAGCATGTATTGATGTGTTTTCTTTCCCTAGTGACTCATCATTTGAATTTTAGACTGAAAACATTTAAAATATGATCTGTTCTAAAAATATAAATCATAGGAGAATATTTGGAAGTGCATATTTTAATTTTCGTAATACCTGGGATAATAAAAAGTATTTGATGTGCTTCTTCCACAACTGCCTAATTTTGGGGTAACTTTCAAAGTAAATTTTTATGCAAACAGTAGTGTCATTAATTGTAGACAGCTGCCATTATGAACAGAAGAAAAATAAAAACATTCCGAATGCTCCCATTTCCTGCTGCCCTTTGGTTACTGGAACTCGAAGTCCCTCGTGCCTAACCAGGGATTTATCACTGAGAATCTGTTTTTTCAGCATTTGACCTATTCTGAAGGAAGCAGTGAAAACCTCCTTTTTAGAAGCATAATTCATGAACTCAGGCAAATTCTCCAGAAGACAATCCAAAGCTGCTGCTGAAGCGTGATGTCTCCTTTTAGGATTGTCTGAGATAAAGCACACCTCCAAAGGCAACCACAGAATCTACAGCAAATTCTTAACTCACTGTTGGCAAAGGTGAGATGAGGAATGATGGAGAGACAGAGGAGAAGAATCATGGAAAGCAAAGACCAAGCATCCTAGCAGCTGATGGTTGATTGTGAAATACTTACTCCTGACATAGGGGTGTAGGCAGGAGGAGGGCTGTGTCCAATTTCACTCTGATAGGAAAGAAAAATGGAATGATGGATATAATAAGAGGCAACATGAATGAAAGAATAAAGACAAGAAAAATAAAAGGCACATGTGTCAAAGGCGAAAGTGCGCACAACAGTGATTTTGCCCAGTTAAAAATGCATGCAATTTTCACCACAGGTAAGTTTCTTTTACATGACATGAAAAGAAAAATTATATATAAGAAGCCAATTTTTCATTGAATGAAAATGAGTAGACAAGACATATTCTTCTGATTAACCCAAGAAGAACGAAGCAGCTACTAACAAGTAGTTGTAACTGAGGGACAGGTTCCTTATTTATGTGTTTAGTGACTGAAATTGCCACTTATCACAGTATTTATTTTATAAGAAGAAATAGGTCCAGGAAATAGAAGGAAACTTCAATTTGTCTACAACAAGTTTTGCTATCAAGTTACGGTGACTTCCATCATGTCACTGAAGTCAGCTTGTCAGAACAAACTCATAAAAAGGCACATTCTCTTTCGACTTTAGTAATACTATTTTAGTTTCAGTCTTACTCCTTTTAAAGTTAAGAAATAGCAGAAAATTTGGATAATGGATTCCTTTCCTGAAACACACATTAGATTCCTGCTACACATTTAGAATCAGTCAAAACTAGGTTTCTGTGGTTGGAAAAAAAAGACATCTGTACTTCTATAGCTTAATATTCCACCCTATGTGTTAAGTGAAAGAGTGAAAAATATAGTAAATATGGAGGACAATATTCCATAGGGCAAGTAGTACAACCTATAAGAATATCACCCATATATATGTATGTATTTATAAGTGTGTTTATGTATACATTACATGTATATTTCACTCATTCATTAGACACACTTCTTGAGTTACTGTCTATGTGTCAGGCACTTTTCCACTCTTCTGTCCCCTAGGCAAATGAATAACACAGACAAAAATGGATGGTTTTATTGCTGTCCCTCAAACTTAAGTGGAGATAACTAAAATATATATATAGAGATTCATAAAACAGTCTAAAAAGTATGTGGCCCCATGGAGATTATTTAATGCCAATTAGTACACCTAGACAATGCAATTTTCCCTAATAAACTTAATCTGTTGAACTAATCAAGGGACAAGTTCTAAATGTGTACGGTGAATTTGCATTTTAATTGTCTCCATGATTGCAATGGCATTGTGAATATTTACCTAGTTTATTCTCTAGTAAGTCCATACATAATGTTGTAATATAGTTATCAGCATATTGAGGATATGATATGGAAACCTACATATGTGTGATATACACTGTTCTGAATATTTCATACATTATCAAAAGCCTTGGCTACAGTGCCAATTAGAAATGGCTTGAGAATTTGGCCAATCATGAAGCATCTCAGACCCCTCATTTTCATTTTCAGTTTCTCTATTTTTAGTGAATATAAAGCAAAATAATGTACATAAATGAACTCTGTAAACCTAAAATATTTTATAAATGTAGAGGATACATAAAATTTAAATATGCACATCTGCTAAACTGAAATTTTAAAGTCAAGCAATCAAGATGCCAAAGCTACTCATCAAAGAGGTATTTTTAAATGCTTACCTGTTCTCTAATCATCTTAAGTATAGTCACATTTTGATGACTTTTAGAAAGATATGAAATCAAATACATTTGTTCATAAATCTGAAAAACTGAATTTTCTATACAAGTCAGTGACTTGTAAAATACAGGAATGATATAGTTGTCTGGTAGTACTTTATCATGTTTAAAACCTTGACTCCAACTTTCATTGTTAAACTTGAATGGCTTAACAAATATTTAACAAATCTGTTAAATTTCTACAATGAAAGCACTAACCCTGTGGTAGATGCTAAAGATACAATAATATGTGGGGGAAAATAGAACTTTTTGGAATTTGCCCTGATATTATCTTGTATTATTAAAACAAAAGTAAGAGTAAAATGATCCTAAATTAATTTAATTATATGACTAAGAGGTCTTCAAAAAGTTCCAGGTAGATGTATAGTGTGAAAAACAATTTTCCGAGTTTTCAAAGATTTTAGCCTATTCAAAATTTAAAACCCCACTTTCCAAGAATGTTTGATGCCTATGTATATCAGGAAGCAAGGTATTCTAAGATACTAGTTATTATCAGTGTGCTGCTGACTCCTTAACTTGCAAGAGTTGCTGTACTGGATCATGCTTGACTAGACCCACAGCTGACTGCACATTTTGCATTTCATAAACAGGGATAAGCATTCAATGAACAATTCACATGTGATTCTTCATCAGGAAAACCGTTTATTATCTATAGTCATGATCTGGGCTAGAATGCCTGCAATTGTCAAGGCATTGTGATAAAAATAATAATAATCTGGACCTCTTGCAGTTTCTCTGTTCCAAGACATGAAGTGAGGCCCCATTAGGATGCATCCACTGTCCCTGCTTTCACAAGTCTTTCTGTCAACAACCTGCCAACTCTGTATCTGGACATACTGCCAAATAGCATCACAGTAATAGGAGTATCTTTATGCTTTGCCCCATTTTCTGCATTAAAATAGAAAACGTGCTATGCAAAAACCCTTTTAGCACTCATTGTTTTAGGGGTTACTGGCTGCTTTTTATGTTTCTGTTTCCCTTTTTTCCAGTTTGCATTTTTTAAAATCTGTTTTCCATGATAAAAAGCACCTCATTCACTTTCCCCTGGAAGGGCAAAGCAGTTCCAAGGGAACATCTGTGAGGCCAATTAGCTGGGCTGGAAATGTGATATAATTGTTGTTTAAATATATTTAAATTACATGTTAATCACTATGTCATAATTTATAGGCTTTGAAAATAACTTTTTGTACTTCAGAGCCAAGCCAGATTTTACTGGTTTTTGCTGTTTTTAGTTTGCAATAAGCTCTTCTCATTGCTCTCTCCCTCATTTCCCCACACTTCAGAGCTGAACTTTTATTATTGGAAAGAATGACAGCTGCAAGAAAATTGTTTGAGTAAAAATTAAGATCCTCACAGCAGTCAGAATGAGCTGGAGTGACCTTAATGTTCTGAGCAGAACAAAGCAGTGTTCTCAGTTAAAAGGCTTTTGTTTTCTCATTGTGCCATTTTCTGCTGTCCATCAAAGCCCAGCTTTGCAGATCTTCAGGAAAGCAGCCCTGGGTGCATCTGTTCAATTAGCCAGTGAGGAGGGGATTTACTGTCAGCAGGGCAGGGATAGAAAGAGACGGGTTATGAACTGGAAGGTGACATGGAGTTTGCTCTGTGGGAGATCTGTAAGCGTGATGGATACAGTTGAGTTAAATTTTGTGGCCACATCACTGGCATGATTAACCTGAACTCAAATGCCAGAGGTGGTTAAAAAGAAGAAAAGAAAAGAAAAGAAAAGAAAAAAGTGCAAGTATCTTCAAATACCCTAAATATAGTGTTCAATCAACTTTAAAATACATCACCCCCCCTATAATGTACCTTTAGGTTGAATGATAAATATTTGAACCTTTGTCATATTTCATGCACAGTAATTCTTATAATACTGCATTGTTTTATATTCTCCCAAGAAATTCTGAATTATTAGCCAGATGGAATATGTCCTGTGATACCATTTAAAATTTATTTTGTTAGTAAACAAAAACACATACCTCATATTTAACTTCTACTACATTAAATGTTTGCTTAATGAGAGATATTATTTTATCTTAAAATAATCATCTTATTAGTAACTGTAGGATAATAGTTTTTAGGGTAAAAGCCACTCTAAATTTTAACTAAGGTGGGGCATATATTTTTGCAAACATTTCTAATAATTCAGCACTACTTTATCATGCAAACACTTTCAAACAGTAGCTGTTCTCCATCATATATCATTTTTGACATAAAGACATGCACTGTTTAGGCCAAAATTTTTGCAAGTTATTTATCTATTTGGATTTATAATGTGGACTCTTTTTGTAAGAAACTCTAATTCTGAACAAAAAAAAAGACAAATATACACACAGAGACTACATAATCATAACCCTACAATCCAATTGAAGAAATTTTAACATGGGTTTTCACTTCATTCCCTTTTCTGGAAACTTTTCATTTACTTTCACATCTTATCATCCCTTCTGCTACCCTGACACTTTACCTCAACTCTTCTTTCAAATAAAATCTCATGATTTCTCCCAGTTTTCTAGTTTTTATACAGATACAATGTCAAGAAACTATCATAAACTCATTTTCAGGTTTAAGATTCTATAAATATTTTACAGTATTACTCCACCCAGATTATTTAATTAGTTATGAGTTCTTACACTAGAAAGAAATCACAACATAATATTAAGAGTTGATAGTACACATACCACATATTGCATGATTTTCAAGTAGGAGAAAATATATATTCTGATAAAATTATTCCTAAATTTCCAAATGATCTTGCACTAAAATATATATATCTTTAAGTTCATTTTCCATAATCTTTTTGAATTGTTGTATGTACTGATTCTTCCCTATAACTTATATGCTGTTACACATAGATATAAGTACACATTGACCTACCTTGCCCTGAGCAAAGGCAGGCCAGAAGCAGAAAGAGATAGTTTAAAATAACTGCAGTACGCAAGGATTTTCCATCACGGCACTCTTGTTTATGGATTTATTGTTCCTAGTACAGAACTTAAGTCAATACATTCCTATTCCTTCTGGACTGGGGGTAAGTAAGCTATTGTATCCCCATGCAGCAAGTCTTACACTCTTGTGAAATCTCAGAACAACAGGCTATTTCCTTTGAAAATATTCATGACTAGATGAGTCAATAAAATGAAGCTGAGACTTGCTCACTTCAGACTCTCAGCTTTGAGTCTCACTGCTCTGAGCAGCATTATATAATGAAGTCAACACATGCTATTAACACAGTCAGGGAGGAAAGGGGCAGTGAAGGAACCTAATTGACATCAGTATCTGTTCACGCCTTCTTCGTTCAAGTCAGGACAGTAACAGCATTCGTATTGCCTGACTTGAATGAAGATAAGAAACAGGAATGCACTGACTGAAG